CAGCTGTTAGCCTGGATGTTAGCCCAGCTGTTAGCCTGGATGTTAGCCCAGCTGTTAGTCTGGATGCTAGCCAGGCTGTTAGTCTGGATGCTAGCCAGGCTGTTAGACCGGATGTTGGCCCGGCTGTTAGGGTAGATGTTAGCCCGTCTGTTAGCCTAGATGTTAGCCTGGCTGTTAGCCATGAGGTTAGCTTGGCAGCTATCCTTGTTGTTGTCCAGTGGAGCTATCTAGCTGCATCAAATAAATCACCATGGTAATTGAATCAATCCCAGCTAAATCCTCCATCTTGGTCCAGTGACCGGTACAGGCCCTGGTCCGTTTCTGCAGCCACTGCTAGCAGTTCTTCAGTGGGAGCTCTGCTGGGTCTGTTCAGGCTGCACGTAGAACCCAGACACAGCCTTCATGTTCCTCATATGTCCATCAGTGAGAAGATGCTGGAGGACCTTCAGCCTCTCTGGTTGATGAAGACACCTGATCCTTCCCACAGCATCACAGGGAGGAGATTCCTAAAGCTGCTCCCATATGAGCAGCTGCCTCCATGTTGCCAGCCGTCAATCTGCTACCAGCTGACCTCATGCTAATGTTTAGAAGCGGCTGGAGAATGAAGGACCTCGGGGGGGGGGGCGACAATAGGGAGAACTGGCGGAGAAGAAAAGGCTGTGGCCTTTCTGACGGACGGAGGAAGGAGGCGGGCAGCAGGTGGTCCACAGGGAGCAGATCTCCATGGATTCTGACCGCGGTGACATTTGGTGACATTTAGAGCAAAACACGACTATGATGGCTGACCTTAAACATCAGGCAGCGACAGGCCGTTCTACATGTTAACGCAGGCACAGGATCACGCCTGGGTGCTGGAAACAGGAGTTCCAGATGTTTCCTCTCATGCCTCATTTATAGCTTTTTAAAAGCTGCATGCTGCTCCTCCTCCTCCAGAAGCTCAGCGTTCCTCCTTTCCTCATGCCTTATTTACCGCCGTACTGCTGATGGTCTTTGTAGTGACGGTTCTTCAGGGATGTTATTGGCCATCAGAGTCAGAGTTGTTCAGTCCATGCGTGCAGCTCATCTCCTCCTAACAGATGCAGACGGTGAATTGCTTCTCTGCACACAGGCTGGAACCTAAAAGCAGTGTGTCAGCATTCAGACAGGCTCATGGAGGCTGGTAAAACTATGATGAAGTTCTCTCAGAACCATCTGATGTGTTCGCTGCATGTTCTACATTAAAAAGCTTTTCTTTAGGGCGTCTCAGTGGTTCCTCTGTAGCTGAGAATGAAGGCGACAGGCTGCTGTTAGTGTGAAACTGAAACCTTTCCGTCTGTTCTTGTTTCTCAGTAGCTGCTGCAGAAAATGAAAAATCCCAGCAAGAAACAGAAAAACATTTACTTCTCTTCATGGCTGTTCTAGAGGAGCTGAAACTCAGACTTTGTTCGTCTGCCTTCAGCTTTTTCTCTCTTTTCTTCCCCACTGAGGCTTTATCCTCCCAGAAACAACCTTTACTTTAACTGGAGCAGCTGGATGCAGGAGTCTGAAATCAATCTTAGACTTTTATTGTGGTTTATTGTCATTTTCTATAATCGGTATGATCCAAGAGGAAGTCTTTGGAAACCGGTATGATTTATCAGACTCAGTGGTCGATATGAACTCTAGTGGAAGCTGATGGTTTATGGCTGTAGGTTCCCGTCTCTGGTGGTCCCGTCTGTCCTGCATTAGAATACTTCAGATTTTCTCCCATCAGGTTTTCCTGGGAATGATTGTTTCCTACTGAGGCGCTGATTGAAGGCCTGGGAAGTGATGCAAAGGTCCTGGTTTGAGTCTGGAGGTGGTGGGGCTCTGAGGGCCGTGGGGGGTTCTGTGTGGGGAGGGTCCATGTCGTTGGGTTAAGGGTCACGGCTGCTCACTGACTGCATCTCCAGACGGGTTTAACATGAATCCTTCTGTATGGAAACGTGTCTTTGATCCCTGAATATAAAACATTTTCAAAAAGCTGTCAAACCTTCTAATGAAGGAAAAACGGCTGTGCTGTGATTGGATGAATGTTCTCTGAGATTCAGACCCAGTCCAAACTTAATGAGCAGCTGTGTTACTCTCTGATGGGAGATAACGATGGTTCTCCAGGCTTTATGGAGGTTTCCGTCCCAGTCTGTCCTCTGCTGCTGACGGGGGAATCATCCTCCTCATATCGCATCGCTGCCATCTCTCTGGTTCTTCCTGAGATCCTGACTTAGAATCACAGTAGAGATGTGAAGCTGCTTCCCTTCTGCTGCGTTTTTCCCCATATTATGGTTTGATGTTGCTTTAAAACGCTGTGGTTGCCTTCTGATGATGACATCATCCATGTTCTGATCGGCCTTCTGGTTGCAGATGGTTTAACTCAGCTGCTGGACAGAACGCGTGAAAAGGTGCAGAGAACACAGACCTCCCTGCAGGCAGATGGATTTATTCAGACATTTTAGAAAGTTCTAATTATCCTAAATTAAAGTATGAATTAAATTAATTTAGCACGTCATTCTGAGGTTTCCCATAATAATAATAATAATAATAATAGCTTAAAGGTAAATTTTTGCTCCAGTCAGTTTATTTAACGTCATATTTTCATACTGAGATGTTTTCCCAGCCTCTGCTGGTGATAAAAACTGCTTTAAATGCTGTTTTATGACTAAATACATGCAGGAAACGCATCGTTGTTCTTCTAAACATTATTCAGCAAAATGCTATTAAAGAAAACATTTTCTGTGATGTTGGAAATGTTTAATGTTATATTCTGTCTTTGAATCATTTATTTTGTGGGAAACAAACGTGATCTTTATGACCCATTACTTCTGTCAGTTTGGCAGATTTACTCGCTTAGGTTCCAATTATTTTCCAACGAATCGTCTCTAATTAGAAGAGAAATCAGTGGAAACGTCAAACTAAATCTATTATTTATTTTTCCATTAGTCCCATTATGGGTCCCTCTCTAAAACTAATCGCACTCGTTTAAGAGGCGTTCCCTCTCTGGAGTGGGTACAGGGTTGGTCATGTGCTTTTTTTTTTCAAATGGAGAGGGCGGGTCGTTTCTTGCGGAAGAGGATTAGGGTCACTAAAAAAAAAAAGTTAACTGATTTTTAAATTTTATTTCAGTTTAACATGGGAAAAAAAAAATCAGAATTCTGACTTTAATCTCAGAATTCTGACTGAATTCTGACAATAAAAAAGTCAGAATTCTGAGATTAAATTCAGAATTCTGACTTTTTTCCCATGTTAAACTGAAATAAAATCAGTTAACTTTTTTTTTTTTTCAGTAGTTTCTAAATCTTCCTCAAAACGTTTAATCAAGTAAAGACCACAAAGCCTTTCCAGTCCAGGAGAGGAATGTTGCCCCATTCAGACACTTTAAGCCATTTTCTTTCTCTCACCGGTTTTTAAAAACAAATTTGGATTTTTCCAATCAGACCGATCAATGAGACAAATCAGTTCACTTGGATAACTTTTATTGTCGTTGACTTAAATTTTGTTTTGTAATCGCTCTGTTTCAGAACATTTCTACTGATTAAAGCGCAGCAGTGGTCAAATGTAGATGTTTAGTTTATTTCTATAGCTCAGGTCTCGGTTCAGGCAGACCATCCAATCAGATTCCAGATGACATCACAGGGCCGGGTGGCCAGGATTGGTTGTTCTTCAGGTTATTTGACCAGTTTTTGTGGATCTGAGGAGAGGAACTGATCTGCATTCTCATCAGACAGCAGAGCTCATCAGAGGAGGAGCAAAGGGATACAGAGACGGCAAACAGATTCCCTCTTCTTTAACTCAGACAGGATTCCAAATTTCAAAATGTTCAGACATCGTTCAAGGCAGGAAAAAAATGAGATAGCAGAAAACAAAGAGGATCCAGAGGATGTCTCAGAGCAGCCTGCTGTTTATAGAAACAGGAGTCAGCAGTTATCTGCTGATGCAGCCTCTGACCAGGAGGAGTAAAGCTGCTCCTCCCTCCAGGCGGAGGACGGTCAGGAAGAGAGCCGCCTGTTTTAGGGCAGGATCTCTGCTGCAGCTCTGTAAACATCATGCTGAAGTTCAGGGTCACACGCGGCTCCAGGTGAGCTCTGCTGCACCGTCTGCAGGAAGCTGTCCTCACTTCTGGCTCCTCTCACAGCTTTCTCATGCAGACACCTTCTAACCTCCATGTTTTCTCTTTTCCTTCAGCCACAATGAACGGAAGGTGACCTGCAAGCACCCGGTGTCCGGCGTCCCGTCACAAGACAACTGCATCTTTGTGGTCAATGAACAGTAAGTCAGCGTGCAGCAGAAACACCCAGAGGCAAGTTGAAGTCTCAGTTAGACAGCCTCTCTGCGTTCCTCTTCACATCTCTAACTGGGAACTCAGAGGGTTGGATGGAAAGAGGCTCTAATAGCAGCAGTCTGCAACCTTTTCCAGGTCAAGGACCCCAAACTGATGGAGAGATGGAGCACGACCCC